AAATATATTTAATGTTAACATGTGCATACGATTTTGAATTATAATTTTTAACACAGGAATTTAACGCTATTTCATTAAAACATATGCAATTAAATATTTTAAAATTGACATTTCTTAACAGCTAAAAATATATATGAATCAATAAAAGATACAAAGCATGTTCTCATTGCATATATTGAATAGTGCAATACATGCATTACTAATTTTATGATGGGAAATCATATTACTATGTAAGATTTCGTACGATCCCGTAACCCTATGTAGGATTTCACCATAATGTTTCATAAATCTTACGATACCGTAACCCTACGTAAGATTTTGACTGTAATATTACGTAAAAATATGACCCGTAATCTACGTAAGATTTCACCGTAATATTTCGTAAATTTTACGATACCATAAGATTTTGACTGTAATAATACGTAAAAAATACGACCTGTATCCCTATGTAGGATTTCACTGTAATGTTTCATAAATCTTACAAACTCATAAACTCGTGTAGTTTTACAATGTAATACTCCGAAATATTACAAAAATCGTAAATCTATAGAATATTACGCTGCATTTAAGTTCCAAATGTACTACTATTTGATTTAACTACCACCCACCTTTTAATCTAAATACCGCCATATAATCTAAGTATCACTATTTTCTTCTTATTCCTATTTCATCTATATGTTAAATTTTATATTGTTGGTATTAGCTTTCCATGTTTGCTTGGATGTCTGGTTCCATGTTGAGAACACTGGCCTTTTGCATCTGACTGAGTGCTAGATTTCGTATTGATGTGCTTACCCTTTGTGCCTATTTGGTTGTCTTTTAAAATACTAAAATTGTGTAAAAAAAAAGACAATAGGTAGCACAGTAAATTTGCGATTAATTTTGCCCAGCTTTATGGTATGACTCTGGCTGATTTTTTGGGCATGTAATTTTAGGTCCCAGCTTGGTAACATGATGACGCTATGATGGTGTCATAGAACTATCATGGAACTGTTAAAGAACTGGTAGGGAACTGGTAGGATGCCTAAGAGGTTCCATTTATTCGCCAGTTTCAGTTTACTTATATGCCAGCTTGGATGCTAAGTTATTATGCTCAAAGTTCCGGCCAAAATTATGAAATAGTGTTGGCTAACATTAAGTGAATAAGTCTTACAGAAAGACTATACCATAGCTATACATATATCTAGAAAGATGAAGTCTTCTTCCAATTTTATATATAATATTACTGAAAAAGACTTCACAAAATTCATATAGGTAGTATTCTATTAAAATTGAGATACAGATCATATGATTTACTATGTCTCGTAACCTACTTTTAATAGATCAGCTCCTATATACTGAGTATATACCTAGAAAGTGTAGTCTTCAGCCATTTTTGTATAATAAAATTCTGCAGAAGACTACACAAAATACATATACCGAGTACATATTAGTGATAGAGTAGCCTTCTTCTGTCACAATATTCTATATAATGATTATGAAGCTACTCCCCTTCAGATTGGATTATATATTTAGTGTTAGGGTAGTCAAGTTCCATTATTTTATATATAGATACTGAAGTTACCTACCCTCAATGGTACCTATTGAGAATACTTAATGACATCAGATACATACTTTGAGATGAGAGCTTCTTTTTATAATGATTCTGAAGTTACCTTCATATCATACTCGAGTATATATCTAGGAAAGTGTAGGCAATAATTCTATAGTCAAATTTGCATAAATAAAGCTATCTATACCCAGCCGGATACATATCTAGAAAAGTGTAGGTAAGTGTCAATATTTATATAATAGATTACGCACTTACCTACACTTTCAGATATATATTTAGATACTTCTCTTTTGCGATTTGGTTTTAAAGTTTACTATCATCTCTTTTTGCATTTATCGAAAAAAATAAATTAAACATTTTTGAATTTTATAGAGATAATATATCTTTTCATACTAATAACATGTATATCTCAACTATTTTTGATCAAACTGATCGCACTAGAACCAGCCTAATACCGCCTGCATGATGACGCTGAATTCTTAGTTGGTAGCCAATCACATAATGATATTGTGCCAGAATTCGATAATGGGATAACCAATATACTTTAACAAAGCCTATCTGGCAAGCAACCCATATATTTCATGCCTACTGAAGTTAGTAATGATACCAAATATATAAAAGATGTCTTCTCATATATTTTGTGCATTGCTGGTACTTTAATTAATGAATAAAAAGCGATCATAAATATTACAGGCATTAAACCTTTCTTTGATATCGTAGTACCTGAAAAGATGCTACTATCTATGTTTAATACCAAATTAGTGAAAATATTATTCAATACCCTCAGAAGTATATTAAAATTCGGGATCGAGTATATTAGCGCTTTTCTACTTCAAGGGTATTATACAGAAAAGAAACAATATATCTGTATTAGCATTTAGAATTATTTTGATCAGTATAATGCATTAAAATCAGTCTGCGCTGTTAGTATGCATACAGCTTCAGATAATCTAAATTGCTATTATTATTACCGTAAAGTAGCTGTGAAAAGGATTACCTCTTTCAAGTTGGGCAATGTTAAGTAATTATTTTCACGAATATATTCAAGGGGTACTTATCTCTTTCAAGTATCTGTGAATAATTACAACTTGATAAGTGATGATGATTATAATAATCCATTAATTTCCTCCGCTCTTTTATGAGACCGCATTCTCATTCTCGCATGAAATATAGAGACATATAATTCATGAAAAACTGGTGAGGTGTCTAATGCAAAAACAATGAAGACAAAGTGTTTATAATTTACATAACAGTTTATTAGAAAGATGATCCTGAACCGTTAAAGTGAATCTGTTTTGTCAACATTGAAATAGCACCAGATTCACAGTGGGTTACAATTGTATGTAGATCCCAGACTAATTTACTAAAAACATTTGCATTGTATTGGAGACATTTAGCTCCAGATATACAAATAGGCTTTAATGATTAACAATACGACTGGAAATTTATTGCAGAGAAAGCTAATAAATTAGGAATTCTCAAATTAATGTTTAACCATATGTCATTCAAGCCATTGAGTTTGGAAAAAATTATAAAATGGGAATATCAATATAACATGATAAAAGTAAATGATAGAAAATTCCATTCAAAGCATCTTAAAATTCCCAGCTGTGCGGCTATTAATATCCAGTCCTGTTTTATGGGATTTTATTCTAAAGAAAAAAAAAGTAGTCTCACATATTACTTAAAGGAGTGTAACCTTGACAACAAAGTGGATTTGCCTATTCACTGCATGAACAAATATTATGAGATGACATTGAAGGAAACAAATGCCACAATGGCTAAGCATATGCGCGAAATAGCTGAGTATTGTATTATTGATGCTCTTAGTTGCTAGCAGTTAATGATTAAGCGCAATATAATTAATGAGTACAGGGCAGTTGCAAACATAGCATTTATATCATTATTCGATACACATTATTTTGCAATAGGAATGAAAGTGAGCAATCTTTTAAGTCCTAATGCATGGCGGAAAGGAATTTTAACCAGTACAATTTCAGAGAAAACAAAGACAGAGTCATTTCTGGGTACCTATGTCTTTCCACCAATAAAGGGGCTCGAAAATAAACATCCTGTAACTAGTTTAGACTTTGTGTTATTATATCTGAGTCTTATTATAACTTACAACTTCTCTCTCGATAAAATTATTTTATCTTGAAAACATGTTGAGTCTCTGAGAGGTGGTGGCAAAAGGCTTCATGAAATTAATTTCAAATTCAATGATAATAATGTTCTTGCATTATCTATATAACATAATAACATTCCTGAAGAAAAAGGTCTCTATGCTATTATATTGGAATATTAATCTAGCAGACGGAATGAGATAAAGAAATGCCTTGCCTCTTTGAAAGAAAGAAAGGAAGACATGGAACTGGTAATAGTTTTAATGGGTAAAGATTTGTTACTACCAGAAGCTATTGAGCATATTTTAGCAAAAGCAGAGGAGAAAATGTGCTAGTCTTAACAAAAATCTATACTATTTTATTAATAAAGAAAAACATGAATTCATAGCAGAATACGTTTTAGTTTGTTTTGATTATTCTTGCTTAGATGCAGAACAAAATGCTCTTAAGGTATTCATGAACACATTTTATGGTAAGGCTAGAGATAGCAAGCCTTCTTTCTTTTTATGTGAACTTGCTAGAGGTGTCACTTCGGCTGGACAGAGAAATATCAAACTCGTTGCAGATTTCGTTAAGAGAAAGGAATTTGGGATAAAATATGTGAATACTGATTCCTTGTATTTAATCTGTCCAGAAGAATACTTCCAGAAGTGTGATGAGGCTTATGATAGTGGTAATAGGATCTCAAAAGAAGTATATTGGTCTCGAATAGTGGAAATCTCTATAGTGGAAATGGAAAAACTTCACGTTGATGTTAATTTCTTTCTCAAAGAAAATAATGGATCATCTTATCTTAAAATTTCCAGAAGTATTTACTGGAAAGAAAAAATACTATAGTATTCCACATGAAAGCAAGATAAACTTTAATAAAAAGCTTTTCATCCGGGGATTTGAGACTGTAAAATGGGAACAGTCTAGTATTTTTCACGAAATAGAAAAATGTATTATGAAAGAATCTACGAGGATAAACAATACACACACCTTGAAACAGGTTGTAGAGGACGTGTTCAAAGAAACTATAAGGGATATTTCACAGATAAATCTTAATGGAGTGGTTAAAACCGCTGTGTGGAAGCCAAATAAAAATAACAAAAGTGTATAGCGCTTTATTTCACGAATGCGAGATAGACATACCCGTGAAGAAGCGAATTTCAAATGGGTCATAAAAAAGGGTTTAACTCCTGACCCTTATCTTTATCAAATCCCAGAACCAGGTGAATGGTTTGAATATGTTATAGTTGAGAATAATTCATCAAAAAGAGTGGGGATAAAATAAAGTATTCAGAAGTAACAAGACGACTTAGTAAAAAAATCGATATTAGCTATTATCTGAATAGTGTTGTTGGCCTCTGTGTGCAATTTATTAACTATGATGAATTATTCTAGCCATCATCTGAAATTGTGTTGGGGACCTTAAAAAAGTTAAAAGATAGTAATAAAGCAGGTAATAATAAAGTAGATGATGGTGTATTAGATGATGATGACCTAAATGAAGATGAAGAGAATGAAGATGAAATGGATAAAGATGAGGTATCAATAATAAGAGATGCTTTAGCTGGGTATTATTCTAATCCTAAATCCTTAAGAGATATATGTAAAAAAGAAGGACATCATTTCTACCTAAAAGAATGCCATAATTTTTTAGAATGGCAACATATATATCAAATACATAAAACTTTTCTGAAGAATATTCCTAGATGTAGCTATAGCTGAATAACACTCCTAAATTGCGTACACCAATGTGATTTATTATTCCTTACACATGATCATTATAAGCGTAAAAAATATATAGCAGTGCTTAATATAATAGATTGCGCTTTCCAATATAAGGCTTCTATTCCACTCATGTCGAAAAAGAGTTCAAAAGTTGCTAAAGCATTCAGAAAAAAATATGATGTTCCTAATAATTCACTTGTGTGGCCAGAACTTTTACAATGTGATGAGATCATGAATTTATGGAAAAGACTTCTCAATTGATGAAGGAACATAATTTTACCATTCGAGTGATTGGTGTATATTATCATTGAGAAGTAGCTTTTGCAGAACGTTTTAACAAGACACTCACAAAAATACTCTATAAAATCCAAGATGCTGTTGAATCTATATATTCCAATTCGAAATTAATAAAAGCATGGGTTAGACATTTGCTTATGGTTATCAATTATCTAAATAATTATCCTACACGTCTCATTCGAGAACCAGAGACTAAGAAATGGGATTTTGCACCTATAAAAGCTATCATATTAGAAAAGTAGAATCGAGACCATCCACAAAATATAAGTGCCTAGTTAGAAAAAATGAAATAACATTAAAGAAAGGTAATACTGTTCGATATCTTCTTGCTATTGCAGAATGGAAAGGAGGAATAGTTAATCAAAAGAGGGTCACTTATTCCACATACTCACCTTCTATTCATAAAATTCGAAAATTATTGTCATAAAGAATGAGCCAGTTTTATATTATCTTAGAAGTGAATATGATAAATATGCTCTAAAACGGGGGTTTGTGCGAGAAGAATTCATGTTAATAGTTGATCTAGAAAAGGTTGGGTATTCACCTCAAAGTATATTATCCGTAAATTTCGTTCATGCTTCTCCTATCAATAATGAGTTAAACCAAGCTATTGGTTATGCTCAAAGACGTAGTGGTTAATGTTTAGGAAAGACTGGAGAAATAAATAGAAATAATGTATATCTTTGGTCTTGTGAGGATGGTGCACACCAGTGGGAGTATCCATTAAAATACATCATGAAGAAATTCGAGTGGTGTCCTCTTTGTCATCATACTAGTGAAAGAAATATATATTATATTTTTGAAAATCTGCTAGGCAAGAAATTTCCATCATGTAAGCCGAATTTTTTGCATAGGATGCAACTTGATGGATATAACAAAGAGCTGCGACTAGGTTTCGAATTTCATGACAGGCAATACTATAGTCTTAATTCAATGTTTCATAGGAGAGGCTAGATAGATTTAGATGAACAGAGAATACGCGATCAGAAGAAGCGAGATATTTGTAAGGAGCAAGATATATGTCTTATCGAAGTATCGTATAAATGTGATCCATTTCCTTTCATTAAACATATACTAATCGAGAAAGGATTTTTGGATGAAGTAAAGCTCAACCCTTGAAAGTTCACTGAAATTTCACCAAGAATTTTACTTTGCTTAATATATTATTAATAATACTAAGTTTAGCTGATATGAAAGTTAAAAAGCTTGATTGAGCAGATAGAATCATTCTCCATATTGATAAGATAAAAGATGCAAAAAGATTCAACAGATTGAACTCAACTTCCTAATGGCCTTTCACCCTTCTAATCTCAGGATGGACCAATTCAGAAAAACTAACGAAGTTGAGAATCTATTATTGGGAAACAAGCTTTATTAAATGTTTAAACGTAAAAAAGGAGGGACCAGATATATCAAAAATGATGATTTAATTCTTTTTGGCCACCATTTTAATGAACTAAAATATAGGTATCTCAAATATATAATTGAAATTAAAATAGAATCATATTAAAAACTTAAATATGCCTGCTAAATTATCTTTAGAGATTGCAAAACAGATTGCAAAAGAATGGGGAGGGAATTGTCTTTCCAAAGTATATATTAATTGTATAGTTCCAATGGATTGGATTTGTGAGAAAAAACACACTTGGACTACCAGTCTTAATAGTATAAAAAATCATAAAACTTGGTGCCTAGTTTGTAAAGATACCTGATTAAATATTTCAGTTGCTAAAGAGCTAGCTTTGAGTCAGGGTGAAAAATGTCTTTCAGAGAATTACATTAATAATCATACTCCTTTGCTATAGACATGCAAAAATTAACATTAATAGTATTTACCTCCTTTTCAAGTTAAAGACTTTGGACATTGGTGTCGTAAATGCAATTATAATAATATTGAAGTTGTAAAAGCATTAGCTTGTATCAGAAATGGAGAATGCCTTTCTTCGGAATATTTAAATAATAAAAGTCCTTTACAGTGGAAGTGTGATAAGGGGCATATATGGATTGCAAACTTAAATAAAATAAAAGATTACAACCAGTGATGTCCTACTTGTGGTGAGCGAAATCGAATTATAATTGATATGAAAATTCTAGCACATAAAAATAATGGCGAATGTCTTTCAGATCAGTATTATGATGCACATACAAAGCTTTTATGGCGTTGCAAGAATTTTCATATGTGGAAGGCTTCTTTACTAACTATTCTAAGAGGTAGCTAGTGTCGATATTGTGCTGGCATCGCAAAATTTAATAAAGAAATTGCTAAAGCTTCGCATGAGCCAGCTTGAGCTGGCTCACCATCGGCTCAAGCAGAGCCAAATTATTTCAGCTCACGAGCCAGCTCGGCTTAAGTCTAAAATGTGGCAAGCTGAGCTGGTTCGCGAGCCAAACAAGCTGGCTCATATGGCTTACATTATTAACAAAAATCTGAAAAAAAATTTTGAAGTAATTGAAAAGTTCTGGAAAGTGATTTTCTTCAAAAGAATCGTTTCTGAAAAATTTTTCTTCAAGAGAAACGTCTCCAAATCAATTCTCTTGAAGCAAAAATTCTTTCAGAACGTTTTTCTTTAAGAATTGCATTTCTGGAGCATCGTTCTTTAAGAATTACACTCCCAGAGTGTCTTCTTTAAAAATTATGCTCCCAGAGCGTCTTCTTTAAGAAATTCACTTCTGAAGCATTTTTCTTTAAAAAATTTGCTTCTTGAGCACTTTTCTTTAAGAAATTCACTTCCAGAACGCTTTCTTTTAAGAATTTCGCTTCCAGAGCATTGTTCTTTAAGAATTCTGCTCCAGGAGCGTTATTAATTAGAAATAACGCTCTGGAGGCATTGTTATTTAAAAAAAGAGCTCCAAAGGCGATTTTATTTAAAAAACGCTCTAGAAGTGTTATTCTTCAAAGAAAATATTATCAAATCATTTTTTCTTCGAAGAATCATTGCCGAAAGCATTTTTCTTCGAAGTTATTACTCCTGGATTGTTTTTTTCAAAAATGAAAAATCCAAGCTGACGAGCTGAGTCGTGCCATGAGCTGAGCCATGACATGAGCTGGCTTGATCAGCTTGCGAGCCATTTTATAGCAGCTCGAGCCAAGCTTTCGCAAGCTGGCTCATGAGGCTTACGAGCTGGCTCAGCTTATGTGGAGCTTTAGAAATTGCTAATCAAATTGCATTATCAAAACAGGGCTGATGCCTTTCAGTGAAATACAAGAATATAGAGTGAATGCTGCAAAAAGAGACCAAATTGAAATTTTTTTCAAAAAATTATTCCTATGTGAATTAGATGTAACTTTTATTGTTTGATCCAGAACTTTAATTATTTTAAGAATATTTTTTTTTACAATTTGGTCCTTTTTCGCAGCACTCACCCCATATAAGCGCATCCTTCTATGAATTTGTCAATATAATCATCAATGGTGGTCTTCACTTAGTAATATAAAACATTCTGATATATGGTGTCTACATTGTGCAAATATGGCCAAATATACTCTTGATGATGCTAAACAAATTGCTCTCACTCGGGGTGGTAAGTGTCTTTCAACAGAATACAAAAATAATAAA